GCTTCCAGCGGGAGCGGATTCTTGTTCGTTTTTTTTTTTTTTTTCGAAGAACAGAGAGTCGTATATAGACTATTCGCATCAATTCGCATTTAGATCAGGAGTCACATGGAGTTGGGTGGAGTTGGGCTTGACTGGACCTTCCTGGCACCTATAATAACGATCTGCAGTGTCTCCTTCACCTGAGAAGATACAACTGGATCCCTACTGTCACCGGTCTTCCAGCTCGCCGGAACCGTCGAGTCCGGAGCGACCGTGACGGCCGGTTCAGTTGGATGGCCACTGCCGCGGCAGCCTCATGAACCTGCCGCCGCAGTTCGCGCTTCTTGGCACCCCAAGTGAAGCAGTTCTCTTTGGTGGAAGGAATCAGAAGTGTCAGAAGGGCCTGGTGAACATGTTACAGCTTCAGCTTCACCGACCATCAACAAATGACTGGGAGTCGCGCTGGGATGTTGGCAGGATTTGCCAGGGAGTGTCAACACGGATTTCGCTCGGATCAACTAGTAGAGGGGTCGAAATAGCTGCTTCTGACTTGACATAGAGTAGAGGGGTGACATATAGCTCCTGACTTGACATATAGTAGAGGCAGTAGAGGGGTTTATATAGCTCCTGACTTGACCCAAAAAACCAGAGTCGGTGTCGTGTCGTGTTCGGTCGATCCAGACCGGACATCCGAGGTTGGCGATCCTCTGGGACATGGACGCCAAAGGAGGTCCCGAGGACGGTCGAGGGCGTGGCGTGGCTGGGCGCAGCCGCTGCGGGGCGATGAGGAGAACCTCACCCCACGAGCGATGAGACTGGAAAAAGCCATGGTGCCTATGGTGCCTATCTGTCAGTGGCCCCTTTTTGAACCAACTGAATGTGAGAATGATGGGGACTCCCATGGAGCTTCTGGGTCATGTCGCGTTTTCATTCGATCACGCAAGCGGTCCTCATTGGGGAAGAAGTTTCAATGGCCCCGCAGTTCGAGACCCAACCAGAGATCATCATAGGCTTTATAGGTATAGTTGAACCTTGTGTTTTTTTAGTGGATGCTATGAACAGATGCAAACCGTGGCAGATGTTTGTAAATCAGCATGGTGTGGATACCTTAGCAAACAATCCTTGATGGATTAATGGCAGTTGTCTTCCCCTCAGCTTTAAGCCTTGGCTTGGGGGGCCGCAAGCGGGGCCCAACCTTGAGGAGATTCGAGACCCCCAAGGCTTTGTCTTCAGCGCGGTCGGGGACTTGGCCTGGAAGAAGACCAGCACTCAGCAAACAAGACATATGGTCCAAGCAAGGCGGACATACTTCTCCTACCCCGGAAATGTGCATCACCTGCAGGTCACCTTTTGGGGAGATTGGGATGTTCACCACGAAAAAAGGAACATGTGGAAAAGGTTAGTTAGTTTTCCAGGGAAACGGCTCGGGAGGCAGTTCCAGCTTTTCAGTCTGTAAAGCGTGGATGTGGCTGCCACACCCACACTTTACAGTCTGTGGCTGTGTATCTCAACAAATTATTGCCCAGGAAACCACAGTGTTTGGACATGGTGTCCGGATCCTATCACCAGCTGACTACGGTCTATTTTGGGGCTTTGAGCTACAGGTATGATAGTTTTTGCATGTTGTTTGCAATGGCCTGGTACAGCCGCAGATCACTCTCATAGAGTGCTACGAGCAGGATGGAACATCATGGAACTGTTTTTCAGGTTTCCATATCCTGATTGGAGGTCACAATGAATTCAACGGATCAACAAAAACCGGTAACATACCAGGACCCTCCTGTTGGGGTGCCCTGTCTGGAAGCCGAACGGCCGGTAGTGTGGGGTAGTTCAGCCAGGACACCCCGAAAACGGAGGGTCCTGGTATATTCATTCCTGCTTTTTTTTTCAAGTGTTCTTACGGTACGGTTTGTCACTCATAGGACCCGGTTGGGACCCAGAGCTGTTCGTCGTGTTTCGCTCTTCGAGAACCCGGTTGGACCTATGGACGACATCCAACACGTGTTGCGAGGTGGGACCCGGTCGCCATTCCGAGCCGGTCGGTTAGAGCGTTCGTATATATGGCTGGACCCGGTCCTGATTTGAGGAATGATCGATATGGCTGAAGTACCCATATGTTATCATATGTTGTTTTGGAAGTTGCTCAAGAACTCAGAGATTTGTTAAGTCATTCAGGGGATTGTCCAAGTCTGAGTCTACCCACCCCTTTGTTGGAATAGCCTGGGTGGAACACGGAAATTGTGTGTTCAGATGTTGACCCTTTGAGACACACTTTTGCAGAAGAAGATATTGGAGGGTGGTGAGAGAGAGAGAGAGAGGAAGTGGCTTGAGCAGCTCGCGGGCCTCGAAGGCTCAGTGTCCGGTTGAGTTCTCTCTTCGGCTTTGTGTTGCTGTATCCGACTGCCCGGCACCATCCGGTTGGAGTTGCCCACAGGTTGGCTCCCCAAACGAACGAAAGGCTTTCCAACCTTTTACCACTTTTACAGTGGGATAGGTCCGGGATAGGTCTATAGTTCAACACTCCCAGATAGGTCGGTGGTTCGACACTCGCACGCCAATCTGAGACTCAAACCTTATTGCGTTTGCCCATGGGCGGCAGCCCCTTGGGCGGCAGCCCCTTGGGCGGCAGCCCCTTGGGCGGCAGCCCCTTG